GGTCGGGTCAAAGTGGTTTCGGATTGTTCTTGTTCAGGGCTACAATTCGATATATGGTACGCTCAAAACGGATAACGGGTGAATGAGAAATCGCTTTTCGAAGTTTACCCGTTAGAATGGAAAAACTGGGAAAAAGGATGAGTTTCTAGTGTGCTATTTCCCACACTGGAAAACCCAAGGGATTTGCAACCCTTTATAAACGGACTCCCCCCTTAAGGAGTTAAGATTCCTTAGGGTAAATGCTCTCTCCACGCGCGGGGGTGGGGGGTGCAAATCAAATCCCGAAATCGGAGAAGAAAAACTGCGACTTGCGTGCACGGGCGACCTGCGGACATGAATGTCGTCCAAAAATCTATCTCTCAAGAGATAAGATTAATTTTAGTTTTCTTCCCGAAACGTTTGATTTTTTCCCAGCGGCAGAAGTGCTCGAGCAGAAGCCTACGGAACAGAACACCTCGTTGGTATTCTGGTGACCTCGTGACAGAACCCCTCTTGGGGTGTTCTGTTGGCCTCGGAACAGAACCCCTCTTGGGGTCTTCTGTTGGCCTCAGAACAGAACCCCTCTTGGGGTCTTCTGTTGGCCTCGGAACAGAACCCTCCCGGGGTGTTCTGGTGGATGCCTTCTGTCGCGCATCTGAACCGTTACAGCAATAAATGTCCAACGTTCTTATCTTTTAATGCAGCGTTAAATGGACAGTTCATGGACGATTCAATGCCCAACAGACTGGTCATTGATGTCCAACGTTCAGGTCCACTAATTCACTATTTTGCACACAACAAATCCTCCTATATAATGGCTGGCAGGTGGTTTTCAACAACACACGATCTTATACGTTCATACACATTCCTCACGTATTTCTGAGCTCTAAAAACACCTCCAACATTCCGAAAATTTCTTAAGTGTTCATACTGTGTTCTCGTTCGCTGGAACTCTTGTTTGTGTGCTCAAACACTAGTTCGTAGTCATCGTATCCTGGAAAACGATTGTTGCAACGCTCCTAGCACCGTGGGAGGTAACAAATACGTTTGAAGGACATCGTGCGTAGCACGAGCTTTGACTAATTCTGCTTCATCTCCTTTCTTGTTTTTCTCTAGTCATTTTATTTAATTAATTTATTTTAATTAATTTTCTTTATTTTCCAAAACACACCCAACAACTACTTCAATTATGCATAACTGTAAACTTAGGAATAAATGATTTAAGGAATGAGTGTTGGATGCAATTTAAGGGATATATGTGAATGTATATTGTGTTCTCACCCCCCATCCCCCGCATGCCACATCTTCTTTAGTATTGATAGTAGATAGTTGATTAACATGTGCATGTATGCTTGTTTACTCACAATTGCTATTGGTTTTAGTTCTGTTGCGCCCTTTGCTATGTTTTTGCTTTCCCTATGCGCCTCCAACATGTGCACAAATGGCCATTCATATTTTACCACAAAAAATACACTCATCTTGGTAATTGAATCTAGCCCGAGCTATTGCACCTCAGGGACGGAGCCAGAACTCAGTCATAAGGGGGGCCAAGAACAAACACAAACACTAAAGAAAAAAATCTCTAAATAGGACCAAAAAAAAGTTTATAAATAGGATTATCATTGTTTTAATCTCAAAATAGGACTTATTGACTCCTATTTTGGCAAACATTAATCAAATAATTTTTAATAGAACTAAATAAGATCTATTCAAGGAGTAAAACATATATTTTCATATTTTTAATGAGGAATGATCCTTTCAGAATTACATGACGGGATCCACCATCCGGATGTCTGTGTTTGATGTGCTTCTGGATGGATTTTTTGGGTGAAATTTTATGACAATATTCTTCATGATGTGTAGATTATTTACACCTAATTTCAGTTTAAAATTCAATCGACAAATCAGTTAAATAAATTATTGAAAAACACTGTACCAAAAAATATATAAAAAAAACTCAGTGTTTTTCCATAATTTATTTAATTGACTCTCCAATTGCATGTAAGCTGAAATACGATGGATATAATAATATACACTTTATGAAATACATGTTCACAAAAATTCATCAAAAAATTCTACCCGAAAGCATCTCACATAAAAGCTTCTATCGAGTAGTTTTGACCCAATCTTTACTGATTATTTCATTTATAATAGTAGTATTACTAAAAAATAAAAAGTTGGGAGGGGCCATGGCCCCCCTACCCATACACATACATCCGTCCCTGTTGCACCTAACAACATAACTTTTTCTATAAGTCTAGCCTATTTAGCATGCTTTTTCAAGTTCGAACAAAGGTTTAATAGCATTGAAGTGTCTGTTGGTTTCCCCTCTTTTCACTAACCGTTGTATACTTTATTCAAGGTCTCCCATTGTTGTTACGGTGCTTATTGTACTCCTTTATTCAATGGGAAGAACTCACATTATAGACATGTCTATAACTTTATTCTTCCTTCCACTCCTTCCCTTCCTCTTAGAGTTAATTGTTTTTGCTTTAGCCTTGCAGTCTTATGCAGTTTTCCCCTAACTTGTGAATGGTTCAACGATGAATGTCAAAAAAAGTTGCAGCTTCCTTGAAGCACTCCACCTAACTTTGGTATCTACTGTCCTTTGAGAAGAAAGTCTAGTACTTGTACCTTTTCTGGGTTGGTGAGGTTGCTGCTTTCCCTTAGCATGACACCTTCCTGCTCTTGGAAGATTCTGACGTAGCAAGTGGAGCAGTGCCTTATGTGTATGTGACGACGATTCTTAGAGATTAAACGTGTCCTCAATCACATTTAAAGGAGTGTTTGCAGTTGATTAAGGGAGTGTTTGCAATTGCTTCAACTTTAAAAAAGTGATTTTTTAAAGTAATTTTGGGAAAAGTGATTAATAGTAAAAGTTGGTAGTGTTTGAGAAAAATGTGATTCTGAAAAAGTAAAAGTTGGTAATGTTTGGTAAAATAAGTACTTTTTGTGTAATAGAAAAAGTGAGAAGCAGTTTAAAGCACCCTTCTACCTGCTTCTAGCTTTTAGGTTTTAAGTGATTAATTTAAGCAGAAGCTGTCATTTGAAAACACTCTTTTCAACTTTTTTTTTAAGCCAAAAGCTAAAAAGCGCTTTTTTTAAGCCATCCCAAACATTCCTTAAAAAAAGCATTTTTCAGCTTTTGGCTTAAAAAAAAGTTAAAAAGAGTGTTTTCAAATGACAGCTTCTGCTTAAATTAATCACTTAAAAGCTAAAAGCTGGAAGCAGGTGGAAGGGTGCTTTAAACTGTTTTTCACTTTTTCTATTACACAAAAAGTACTTATTTTATCAAACACTACCAACTTTTACTTTTTCTGAATCACTTTTTCCTCAAACACTACCAACTTTTACTATTAATCACTTTCCCCCAAATCACTTTAAAAAATCACTTTTTTAAAGTTGAAGCAATTGCAAACACTCCAGAGATGTCTTCCCCCGCCCCAACCCACCCTCGATAATGAAGCTTCTAATGAGAGGCCTGTATAAAATACCCCCCACCCCCAATCCAGTTACCCCCGCCCGTCTTTTAACACCCAAATGTGAGTTTGTAGCTAGTTCTCGCGTTACTCTCTCTTCTACTATAGTGAATGTTATTTTATCTACAATGTAGCTATAAAACATCTTGAATTACATTTAAAAGGCTATTGGGCACATATAATGATACGAAGGGAGTATGTTTTTACCGTGTTATTATTTTCATGTTCTTAGTCCTCCAACAATCTAACACTTCAGATGTTTTTTAATTGAATTAGTTTCAGTCCCACGCTAAACTAGATCAAACCAAACTTCAAACCCGTTTGATAACCCTGTTTTCGGATTATCAGACTTATCAACCAACTTTTCACCAAACACGTAATTTTTGATTTCGTATATTAAGTTGTGTAACAATAAGGAAATGTGAGGTTGAAGTTACTTTTCTGGCTGCATTGGTTGAAGTTACTGTATAGGATCATATTAACTATTTTTTCATATGATTTTTTCTTTATTTTATTAATAAAATATATTTTAAATACTCCCTCTGTCCCTAAATGTTGTTCCAACTTTCCTTTTTGGGATGTCCCAAAAAGAAGTTCACTTTCCCTTTTTGGCAAAGAATTTGTGGTTCACAGCATTTCTCTCTCCTCTGCACAACTCTTCACCACACAATTCTCACTTTCTTAATCACCGTGCCACTTTAATTTGGAACAACAATAAGGGACGGAGGGAGTATATTTTTCTCATAAATTAACAGAATCGGAGTATTACCAAACGAGCACTTCAAAAATTATAAAATACACATTAGACAGATTTATCAGACCACACTCAACCACTACAATATACTCCGTACTATTATACGAAGTACTCCGTAGTATATTAGAAAATTTAACAACAGTTAAATCATTGATATTATTATTTTGAAAGGTAAATCATTGATATACGGAGTATTAAAAAGAAAAAAATAGGTAGTAATAATGAACATGACATTAGTATACCCTTGGTGCAACTCAAACCATGGAGCGATGGACATGAAAATGATACGTAGTATTATTAAATCATGGAGTATACCCTTGGTACAACTCAAACTATGTACATGAGACATGACATTATTTTCGAAAATTAATCTTTCAACTATTCACTGTTGTTGGAAAGGATTATGGTTATATACATCTAACTTTTACAGTTATCATTTTTAATCCTTCAATATGAATTATATGATCATAATGACATCTTTAATTTTCAATTTATTTTGGCAAAATAATGGTTAAAAACATCATTATGATCGCGAACACCACTTCATTTTAAGATACTAACAACTTTTTTTAAACTTCTGTAAATACTTCCTCAGTTCTTTTTTAGTTGCAACGGTCAACATTTCACACTTGCCAACGCACATCTTTGACCATAATTATATCTTAATCTCTATTAGTTAAAAATAATTAAAAATCAGATTTTGAAAATTTGTAATGAGATGAATTGAACAATATCTTTTTTAAAAAATAATTTTCGTAAAATAATACCGTAAAATGTAGTCAAAGTAGAACACGTGAATAGTGTAAAATTCAATATGTTGCGATTAAAAAGAAACGGAGGATAGTATATGATAAACCATTAGGAAGGAGAAACTTCAAAACCTCAACTAAATGGGAAAGTTCCCGAAATAGGACTAAAACAACTTGAAAATTCCAAAATAGGACTGTCATGTTTTTTATTCCCAAAATAGGAGTAATTACTGTCAAGTTTGGAAAATACTGTCATGTTTGAAGTCTGGTAATGCCAAAAATGGCAGTAATTAGTCCTATTTTGGAAATAAAAACATGACAGTCCTATTTTGAAATTTTCAAACCTTTTTAGTCCTATTTTGGATAAATTCTCCAACTAAATATATCCCCATTTCTAAATTTTAAATTTCCGTAAAATCGGAAATGGTCATTACAAAATTGTTCGGGAAAAAACCCTCCACTACACTACGAATTTCAAATTAATTCACTGATATGGATGAATCAAACGATCCCACACATTGCAGAGCTCAATCCCCTGCCCGCCCTTCCTTTGCAGACGTTCTGCAGATGCGGCTTCACGTCCGACAACCGGACCGGTTTCAGGTAGAAATCCTCGGCCCCTTCCGACAGGCAGCTGTGGATCCGGGACGGAATATCCTCGGAGGAGACGATGACGACGGGGATGTGCTTGAAAGCAGAGCAGCCCTTGATCTCCCTCAGCAGATCGTAGCCGGTCATTCCCGGCATGCTGTAATCGGAGATGATCAGATCCGCCCCGACTTCGTTCAACACCCGGAGAGCCTTCGCCCCGGAATCCACCACCGTCACTTTCACATTGTCGCCGGAGCAGGCCTTCAGGATCCTCTCGATGAGTTTCCGGTCGACGATGCTGTCGTCGACGGCGAGGACGTGGAAGTTTTGACACTCGCCTATTGCCATTGTTTGATATTTTATCACTACTCGTATATTGAATTATTGAATCAGGTAGAATACTGGGTAAAACGTTTTTAGATTTGGATGGAGTTGTGAAGTATTGATGGCACTATATATAATGGGACTGATTCAAAAATGATGCAGGGTGGGGGTGGGGGTGGGGAAGATATCTGGAGATGGGATATACAGTTGGCGCGACAGTTGAGAAAATGGTAGGTCAATATGGAGAATCGGATCGGAGTAGGGCTACGGAATAAATCTGGGAAATCTTTGAGTTGGATATGGACAGCTATCTGCAACGTGTCTGATTGATGATCACAAAGGGTGCAGCCCTGCTCGCCCAACCAACTAAATGGCTGACCATACACTTCACTTTCTGGTTTGAGTAGTTAATTACGCGGCTTTTAAGACCGGTGGTTAATTGGAGCCATTTAGTCAGTCTTCTTTGAAGAGGGGTTTGACCGACCCGCCTGGGGTCATGAGCTATTTATTACTCCCTCCGTCCCGAAAACAACTTCTCGGTTGGACTTTCACACACTTTAAGGAAATAAATTTGACTTTACTGTAGAATGCACTGTTTTGCACTGTTTAACACTATTTGGTACTGTTTAAACACTGTTTGGCACTATTTAAACACTGTTTGGCACTGTTTAAACACTGTTTGACACTGTTTATCACTTTTTTGATGTAGATAATTTGCCAAATAAGGAAAGTATTGAAGTGTGAAGTTAATTTTGGGACATCCATTTAAGGAAAGTGGGAAGTTGTTTTCGTGACGGAGAGAGTAGTATTATAGTAGTAGTTTAGGAAAAAAGGATGACACTCCCTCCTGAGGGCCCCCCACACTGACCGGACGGCACGATGGGAACTCGTAGTTTAGGATAGATTCCGTAAAAAATGAATCAGATTGAATTGTTTAGGTAAAACTACACGAGTTTAAATTTCAATAAGAATACTTCAAAACTTCTACTCCGTAATTAAGACATACGATACTGACTCTTTAAAAAAAACATATTCCCTCCGTCCTATAATTAAGTTCACAGTTTGACTTCACACAAATTAAGAAAATAAATTTGACTTTACTGTGGAGTGCACTGTTTAAACACTGTTTGACATTGTTTGGCACTTTTTTGATGTAGATTATTTGCCAAATAAGGAAAGTTTTGAAGTGTGAAGTTAATTTTGGAACTGCCCGAAAAGGAAAGTGAGAAGTTAATTTTGGGACAAAGGGAGTAAGATACTGACAAACTAGATGGTTTATAAAGAATATACTCTACTTTACTTAAGAAAAATACTTGAGGTACACAAAATGTGTACACATGTCTGTCCTTCACAGAAATTTTGTTTGTCACAGACAACTCATTTTGTGTTGTCTGTGATAAACAAAATTTCTGTGAAGGACAGACATGTGTACACATTTTGTGTACCCCTAACAAAATTCTTTACTATAACCTTATACCACGCGGAACTTTTTTTTTAGGAAAAAGAGAAACTATTTAAGTGCGAAAGAGGCAAAGAAGTGAACAATACTACAATTGCCTCTCCGCACTCTATCCAATGATCCAAACAAACCTGTGCAAGTATATTTATGTTTGAAACACACATTATTATTCTTATTTAGACTCCCACTTCTCCATAATTTTAAACAAGAACTTTTATTTTGAGAATACACTACAAAAAATCATCTTCAACGCTTAGCTAGGGATCAACCACCGTGTCAGAATTAAATCTTCTTGTTTAAATCTTATGCCATGGAGTATTCTAATTTTGATGACATGTAAATAAGGGATGATGACATGACATCATCTCATCTATGGCTGTAATTGTTTTGGTTGTTATTAGCTCATTTGACTGTTATAAACTGATGTAACGAACAGGGCCGACCCAGGTACTGTGCAAGCAGTGCGGCCGCACAGGGCCCAAATTGACGGAGGGCCCATTGCCCAATAATAATTAGAGTTATTAGCTGATTTGAGCCAAATAAAAAAAACTTAAAGAAGCAAGTGACTCACCAACTAACCAAGTTAACTACTTGGAATACGTTAGACATTGTTAGTAGAAATTCCTTGAGTGAAATCATCAAAAATTATTTCTAATTTATTGTATTGCTATACGTATATATTTTTTGGTAAGTTAACTGCGGTATTATTGGCTTATTGCTATTACTTTACTATACTACCATGCTCCGTATATACTTAATTTGTAAGTTACCCTTTTTATTTCTATATAGTTAGCTATATCAATTTTTTATTAATTTGGATTTCATTTATATAATGAATTTTTTTATAGCAATCAAAATAAGTTTTTCATTACATTTTATACTTACTTTTTTTATTTTTAAGTTTATTATTTTCACTACATGTGTTATATACTCGTATAATATTCCATCGATTCCAATTTGAGTTGTAAAATTGACTTTTATTCACTTAATTGGGATATCAATTCTTAATTAAATTTAACTTGGATTTTCAAACTTTATAGAGATTTTAATGTAGTTTCTGAATATTTGAATTTTAATTATTTCATATTAAAATTGAATTAATTATCAATAGGGGATTTAACTTTAACATTCGGATGAATGTACTTTTCTTTTACTACGTATAATTTAGGGCCTTTATTTAATTTCGAACAGGGCCTTCAAAATCTCAGGACCGGCCCCGGTAACGAACGGAGAGGAAGTTCAGTTTTTCAGTTGAATGCAAAGTGCATATTCTTCTTCTTGCTCAATCTATTCTTACTTTCTGTTATGAACCATATCTCTTCCCTTGCTTGTTCATAACACACGGAACCACTTCTTGATCTAGCTCCGTGCCTGCGTGATATGTATATGTGCTATATTTCGTATTTCAAAGTGGCGGCGACATTAGCTGATTAGCGTCGCCAACTTATGTATCTTCGGTGGATCACTTCCATCTGACCATTTTAGTCCAAGAATGATGAGCGAGATGTGATAAGTACTGATAACCATGTTACGTTCTTGGTTATCTGCGAAAGATCGAATATGGTAGCCTGGTCAATACGGCAAAACAACCTACCAAATACCAATTGCATTGTCCAAAAGCTAATTAAGATTTGTATTTAATTACTTTCTGTTATGAGCTCAGATATATCATCCTAAAAGGGCAATTGATTAGGAATTAAAAATAATCTAAAGTCTTATATAATGTTACTACGTATTATTTTACAAGTTTCCGATGTGTGACACATACTTCAACAAGTTCCCTCAACTCAAATAAGACTAAACAATATCGACATGTATAAATAAGCCAAATAGACCTTTAAGAAGCTACCCTGAGTGCAAAACAAGCAGTCAAACCACACATGTGTTCTAGTTTTTATTAATATATAAGTGATCATTGTATCATATCAATATATCATCATGATACAATGATCACTTTTATATTAATAAAAAAAGGAACATAATGGAAAAACTTTTCATTGACCATGCTAAACCATAATTTCTTCCCCTTACTCTCACCACATGACTTAATGGAAATTTGGATATTTGATCCTGGAAGGATTTCCAAAGTGAAGAGTCGGAAAATTGAGCATTCCTGTGGAAGTCCTAGGAGTGAAAATGTGAAGAAGATGAATTATCACGATCCAAGCTTGAAGAGTTGAACATAATGATGGCGTCGTGCCACGACGTTAAATAAAGCGCTTCTTGGGAGGCAAGTCATGCAAGGTACGTTTACTTGTCTTATTTTATTTTAACTTTGCACTTAAAAAAATTGTGGAGGTCTGGAGCACATACCCGGCCGGGTACCATCACACACCCGGTCGGGTATAATGTAAAATCTGTTTACCCGAGGCACAACCCAGGCAAGGCAGAGAGAATTTTTGAAACATATAGTTTACCCGACCGGGTTCCATCAATTGCCCGATTGGGTTTACCTCCAAACAGCCATTGCCTCCTCTAGGACGAAAACACCCAACCGGGTAAACACACCCTACCCGACCGGGTATGAGGAAAAAGATTATCCCAAGCCTCTGGAATGAAAAAATCGACCGGGTCAACTCATCCACCTGACCAAACAAAAAAAGTCGAAAATGAACTTATACCCGACCGGGTATACAGTTTTTTTTTGCATATACCAGATCGGGCACCTACTCTCCCTCCCAATTCTCATCCAAATTCGAACTCTCTCTCGCAACCTCTATAGCCAAACACACCAAACTCTAAATCCCAAACATCCTCCATAGCTACACAATTTCTTTTCTTTCTTCAAATTCACTTTCCATTTGAGCCGAATTTATCAGAAAACCCCAATATTTTCATCTCTTCACTCCCCTCAAATCCCAAATCCCCCTCCCCCAAACAAAAACATCCAAACATTGACGACAAGAGAGCACTAGGGGCAGTGCTCAGACTAAGTAAGGGGGAGTCACTCATTTGATATGTACTCATTTTTCCAGCTTGAACTTGCACGATTTTTTATAAAAAAAAAAATTAAAAATAAAAGAAAAAATGCTAGTTAGGTTGAAAACCCAAAACTGGACAATCTAAGCAAAAGTGGCTAAAATAAGTGAGTTGGGAGAAGAAGGAAAACAAAAAGAGAGACTAAGATGACAACTTCAAAAAGGCTCCCAGGCAGAATGAGAAAATGAGAGGAAATTTTATCTGAGTTTATATATGAACTCAATTCACTTGGGAGTTTTTGGGATGCAAGCAATGAAAAGAATATTTGTTCATGAATATCATGAAGACCCTCTTTCTTTGTAATTTGAGGATGAATGAAAAACTGAACATTTTATTCCTTTGAATTTATCTGTTTTGTGTAACATGAATTGTTGTGTTAACTTTTACTCGAGGGCGGGTAATAGACTAAATAGGGGGGAATTTGATACTATAGAATTGTTATTGTTTATGTTTGTAATTTTAACTAGCTTTGTTTATTATTGTTTTGGAAATTACACACTTTTGGTGTAATACTTTATTTTTCCTAGTTTATTGTAATTTATTAGTTTTAGAAGATTTTGACCTTGAATAAAACAAAGGAGCATGGAAGATATCTTACAAGACCAAAGGAAGGTGCAAGGGAGCAAGAAATCATGCTAAAAATGTGATTTGGTGACTTACCCGGTCGGGTATGAAGTGAAAAACGAAGTTGCTGGGAAAAT